AATTTTTAAAAGTCACAGGGCTAGAGAGATGGCTCAGTGGTTAAGAGCACTGGCCGCTCTTGCAGAGGGCCTAGGTTCAGTTTCTAGGACCCACATGGTGGCCAACAACCGTCTATAACTCCATTTCCAAGGGACTCCAACGCCCACTCTGACCTCTGCAGGCATTGCACAACACGGGTGCACTTATCTGCAGGCGATACACTGATATACATAAAATAAAAATAATTTTAAAAGTCTATGTACCTATTTTAAAATCTATTTATATTGTTTTTATAGTTCTGGTACAGATAGGAAAGAATAGTCATTCTCTAATAAATATGTTTAAGTACACACATTGGAAATATTTTAGTGTATTCTCATTCATTTCTAAAAATATAAGTGGAGATAGAAAACATGAGTGGATATAGAAAACCCACCTTGGCATAGAGCTCCAAGCTCTGATGACCAGCAGCCATCTCTACCAAGATATCAGGGCCAGAAAGCACTGGATGTGGTAGAGAACTGTCCAGGGACACCCAGGAGAATTCTGCCCTTGAAGTACTAAATTGAAAATCTTCATTTCTATTGAACACAGGTAGAAGATAATGAAGTAAAATTGTCTGAGAAAACCTTGCAAGAAATGAAGGTAAGCAGCTTTCCTGTTCCCCGTGGTAGCATCATTCCAACATAGGATGCCCAAATGTAAGCAACTTACAAAGATGACAAATATTTCATCTTGCTAAGCTAAGGAATCTACTTTTTTTTTTTTTTTCAGTCTTTTTGAGACAGGATCTCTCTGTAGCCCTGGCTGGCTTGGAACTCACTATGTAGAACAGACTAGTCTCCACCTGCCTCTGCCTCCTGCATATGCCACCACACCCAGCCATGGAATCTGTACTTGTTTTTTTATGTGTATGCATGTATTGCCTGCATATATGTAAGTGCATTCCTGTCGTGCAATGCCCATACAGGACAGAAGAGGCCATTGAATCCCCTGAAACTGGAGTTATGGACAGCTCTTAGCTGCCATGTGGGTGCTGGGATTTGAACCTGGGTCTTCTACAAGAACCTCCAGTGTTCTTAACTGCTGAGCCATCTCTCCAGCCCCTGGAATCTGTACTTTTTATCTTCAATTCTTATTTGCATTTTCCCCTTCCTGGCAGGCCTCTCGAAAGAGCATTTCTGGGAGACAAAAAGAGAAGAATTCCACTTAAACGTTTTTTAGTATTTTTAAAATTTTCCCTGTGCTTTTTTTAAAAAAATCAGCACTGGGGATCAAACCCAGGACCTTGTGCATGGTAGTAAAGCACTCTGTCTACCATGGAGCTATATCCCCAACTCTCCCTGAGTACTGTTAAGAGCAAATTCCAAATTGGCCTATACATGCACAACTAAAATGACAAGGCTTTAGAGAAAACAAATGCACTAGGACAAGAGCACCACAAATGGAGATCCCAAAGCCAAGTATGGTAGTACTTACTTTGTAATTCCTATAATTGGGAAACTGGAGCAGGGAGGTTGCTACAAGCTCCAGGCCAGCCTGGGCTACAAAGTGAGACTGTCTCAAAAAAAAAAAAAAAAAAAAAGAGCTCACCAGGCTCAGCCTAGGTCATAGCAACATGGCTATATGCAACAAGGTTGGGATCTGGTAAATACAGGACCTGCTATGAAGCCTCCCTCCAAAAAATAGTGAAGAAGTTTGAAATCAGCCAGCATGCCAAGTATAATTGCTCTTTCTGTCGCAAGACCAAGATGAAAAGATGGGCTGTTAGCATCTGGCACTGTGGTTCCTGCATGCAAACAGTGACTGGTAGAACCTTGACATACAACATTACTTCTGCTATCATGTTCAAGTTTGCCATCAGAAGACTGAAGGAATTGAAAGACCAGTAGAAGTGCTACCATTTGGGACATTCCTAGCCTGTAATAAATGGGTTAATTTATATAAAATGAGAGAAGAGGAGGAGGGAGGGAGGGAAGGAAAGAAGAAAGAGAAAGAAAGAAAGTTAGTTGCTGGGCTTTGTGGCACAAGCCTTTAATCCCAGTAACTAGGGACACAGAAGCAGGTAGATGTCTGAGATAGAGGCCAAGAGGCCAGCCTGGTCTGGTCTACATAGGGAATTCCAGGTCAGCTGTGGCTATAGGGAGACCCTGCCTCAAAAAGGGGCTGGGGGACTAGAAAGATGACTCGGGTTAAGAGCATGTACTGCTCTTACAGAGGACCCAGGTTCAATTCCCAGCACCCACATGGCAGTTCACAACAGTCCTTAACTCCAGTTCCAAGTTATCCAGCACTACCTTCTTGCCTCCACCTATAGTAGGCATGTACATGGTACATATACATAGCTGCAGGCAAAACACTCATAAAATAAAGAAAATGAAAATAAAAATTTTTAAATTACAAAAAGAAAATGATCAAAAAAATCAGAATGCAGCAATGCCAAAGAACCAGGCAGTGCCACAGACCATGGCATAGGTTGGGTATATTCCAGTCTGACTCACCTTTCTTGACAAACAAAATAGACAAGAGTTTTGCCTGAGTTTTTATACTATAAATCACCTGCTTTCATTGTTAATGCTGTTTTTAAAGGCAGAAGAATGTTTCCTGGGCACTTTCCTAACAGGAGGAAAAGGAGCATATCTGTATTCCAGCAACTCACAGTCCTGCCCTGAGGAAGGTAAGCAGCTGTGACTTGTGTTCTTGGCTGTGTCTGAGGACCTTGGTTGCAGATAATTGCATTGGTGTTGTGATTAATAATACATCTGCTGTTTTAAAAGACTTGTTGGCGTAGAAGTATTTTGTTACAGCTTTTTCCTTTAACCATCTACTTTGTAGATGAGGAAGCTTGTGCTGGTTTCATTAGCACAAGGTCTAGTCCCAGAACTATACCTGGTCCTCCTGTTGCTACCTGAGGTTTGTTCTAGAATGGGATAAAGTGGCACTATTTCCAGAAATAGAATCTGTAGACCTAAACAAAATCTGGATTACTTTTCTACTATATAACAAACTACCACTAACAGTGTTTTAAGGTGACATCTCTAAGTTCTACAGATCAAAAAACTAGGCAAAGCCAGGCAGGGTGGTGCACGCCTTTAATTCTAGCACTTTGGAGTTAAGAGGTAGGTGGATCTCTGTGAGTTTGTTGCCAGCCTGGTCAATATAGAGAGTTCTAGGCCAGCCTGTGCTACATAGTAAGATCCTGTCTCCAAGAAAATACACAGAACAAACAAACTAACAAAAAAGCTTAGGCAGGGGCTGGAGAGATAGTTCAGCAGTTAAGAACACTGACTGTTCTTGCAGAAGACCCAGGTTCAAATCCCAGTACCCTCATGGCAGCTAACAACTGCCTGTAATTCCAGTTGTAGGGTATCCAACAGCCTCCTCTGTCCTCCTTGGGCATTGCATGACATGGGTGCACTTACCTACCTGCAGGCATAACACTCATATACATAAAATAAAAATAATAAATAAAATACTTTAAAAAAAAAAAAAAAAAAAAAGCCTAGGCAAACGGCCTGGTGATGTGACTGCAATCCCAGAACTAGGGTGGCTGAGGCAGGAGGGTCTCTCTGATGTGTTGGAAGCCAACCTGGACTGTATACTGGGTTTGAGGCCAGGCAGGACTATTAGTGAAATAGTTTGAACAAACAGTAAGTATAGGAAGGCTTGTATAAGCCAGGTCTCATAAGGCCCAAGTCAAGGATCAGCCAGGCCTGGCTCTTTAATCTGAAGGTTCTGGGAGCCTGTCTGCTTCCAGTCTTATTTAGGTTGTTGGTCTGCCACTTTCCTCTCAAGCCCCCATTTTATGGCTGGCTACTAGCTTAGGGACTGTTCTTAGATTCTCCTTCAGCGCTGGGAACCTCAGCAGCTAAGAAAGTCTTTTGTATCTTTTGTATTGAATTTTTTTTTTTTTCTGTCTTTTTTGAGACAGGATCTCCCTGTAGCCCCAGCTGGCCTAGAATTCATTAGGTAGACCCAAGCTGGCCTGGACCTCACAGAGATTGGCCCACCTCTGCCTTCCAAGTGCTGGGATTAAAGGCGTGTGCCAGCATGCCCAGCTCTGTGTTGAATCTCATCATTCTGCTCTCTAGACCCTGTGCCTCATATTTTCCCCTTATACAAAAACAGTTACTCCCTCTCAAGAGTCTCATTCCTTTATGACAGCAGTTAAAAGTCCTAAATGTCACCACCAAAATCAACCCCAGGGGCTGAAGATAAAACTCCATGGTTTAGCAGGGTGTGGTGACACACACCTTTAATCCAAGCACTTGGAGGCAGAGGCAGGTGGGATCTCTGTGAGTTCAAGGCCAGCCTGGTCTACACAGTGAGTTTCAGGCCAGCTGGGGGTTACAGGGAGACCCACCTCAAAAAAAAATGACCAATTAAAAAAAAAAAAAAAAAAAAGCCCAGTGGTTAGGAGTGCATACTGCTCTAGTCTTGCAGAGGACTGGAGTTCCATTCCTTTAAACCACATAAGGTGGCTCACAACTGCCAGAAAGTTCCATTGCCTCTGGCCTGCACTCACATGCACAGATACTTAAAACACATAGTTAAAAATAAAATAAGCCTTTCCCCTTAAAGAAATCTTACTTTGAAAAAAAAAGATAATCTCCAGGCATGAGCTATGAATGTAACTCAACACAAAATTGTCAACTTCATTAAAAACATTATGAGATTTTTCAAGTGTATAATTTACTGGGGCGGGGCGGGGGCAGACTTGATTTTATGGTTCTTGAGTGTGTGTTGTGTCTCATTGTCAAAAGGTTGGACACACCTAAACCCTGTGTAGATAAGGCTCAGGAATACTGCTGAGTGCAGTTCTGAAACATTATTTTCCTGTATTTGTGAACCTTTGCGACTAAAGAGCTAGCTACTTGGGCCTACCTCTCCCAATATACAAGGGGTCCTGGTACGGGATAACAGATATGGCTTCATGTTCAAAAAAGTAAAAAGAAAATAATAATAAATAATAATAAATAAATAAATAAATAAATAAATGGTAAACAGTCACTCAATTTAAAGCAGTTTTAAAATCCAGCTGGACAAGCAAGCTGATCCTGATGGTGCAGGCCTTTAATCTCAGCCACTGGGGAAGTTGAGATAAGAGAATCTAACCTTCAATTTCTTTTTCACTGGGCAACTTAGAGAAAAAAGTAAAAAGAATGGTAAAGATGTGACTCAGTGGTCCAGTGCATGCTGTAAATTCATTTCAATCCCCAATACTGGGCATGGGGCAGGGGGTGTCCAGTCCAGCTGGTCAAGTTCTGGTTCTTTGATTATGGTCAAGACCTGGGATTTGTTCCCTGTGGCTCCCAACTCTGCCCTCTGAGAATTGGTTTTGCCTTCTAGGCTCTTGTTTTATGCCTCTGAGGCACCTTCCTTTTCCATGAAAGACAAACAGTTCCTTCCTTAGGACTCAAGGCCTAGAAATTCTCTGTGTCTCTCAGCTCTGCCCCCTTGGCTCTTGGTTCCATCCTCAGAGTTCTCCTGTTTCTCTCTCTCTCTCTCTCTCTCCTGTCTCATTTATTTATTTATTTATTTATTTATTTATTTATTATTTATTTATTATTTATTTTAGAAAGAATATATGTGCCATAGCATGCTCATGGGGATCAGAGGGCAACTGGTGGGAGTCAGTTCTCTCCATCTACCATATGGGTTCTGGAGATCAGACTCAAATTAATAGGCTTGGTGTCAAATGCCTTTACTTGTGAGCTGTCTTGGCAACCCAGTCTTCAGAGCTCTTGATTTCACTCTGGGCTCATTGCTTTACCCTTTTGAGTTTGTGGCCACACTGCTGTCATTTTTCCTTTTTGATGAAAATGTAGCATATTGCTTTATAGTTTAGTAGTTTATCAGTCAGCTTCTTGTCAGTAACATTCTGGGAGCTCAGCATCCTCCTTTCATTTTTGTAGTCTGTCCTTTTCAGTCTAAGCTAGCGATGTTTTTCCTGATATAAAATTCTCAAAAACTTTGTTGGTCATATGTGGATTTCATCGGATTCACCAGATGGGATAGTGTATGCTTTTCATCCCAGCACTTGGGAAATAGAAGCAGGCAGCTCTCTCTGAGTTCCAGGCCAGCCTGGTCTATATAGCAAGTTCCAGGCCAGCCAGAACTACATAGTGACACTGTCTCAAAAACAAAAAAGTTTAAAAAAAAAGAGTTCTGACTTTACAAATTCCTCAGCCTCTACAAAGGAAAGCCTCTTTCTGGATGATTTATTCTTATTGAATTTCCAGCTAGTGGCACATTCCTCTCTCTTTTTCAAATCATTGGTTTAGCTCCTCCGTTCACATAGAAGACAAATCACAAGGAGTTCTGGTTTCCAACCCACAAAATGCTGGGATGTTAATGCATCTATTATTGTCTCATTACCTGTACACTTAATTTCTGCTTCTCTAAATCCTCCTGCTGAAGACCTCAGAATTAGTAACATTTGTGTAAATGATATGGAGTGACAGTACTACCAACCTTGGCGCGAGATCATGTCATACGGGGTTGGGTATTGTTTATTTTTAAAACACGGTCTCATGTAGCCCAGGGTGGCCTCAAACTGAAGGTCTACCTACCTCTGCCTTCTATGTATTGAGAATACTGTTATGAGAATCTACCATACCCAGATTCCTTACTATTTTGTTGTTGTTTTGATTTGGGGGAAGTTCTGATACTGGGGGTTTAAGCTGCTTTCCACACCCTGGCTTTTATTTTTGAAACAGGTTCTTACGTAGCCCAGGCTGACGTCAAACTTGCTATGAAGCCAAGAATGACTGAACTTCTGATTCTCCTGCATCCACTTCCCAAGTGTTGGGATTACAGATATGTGCCACCATGCTGGGCTTATGCAGTACTGGAGATTCAACCCAGGGCTTCCTGTATTCTAGGCAGCTACTCTACCAACTGATCTACATCCCTAGCCCTTGTACAGTGTTTTAAAGGCAAGTTTGTAGGCACAACAAAATTGAGTTGGTTGTGTGCTATTATCCTTGAGCCATTTATAATACTCAGAAAGGATATACGCTAAATTTAATTTGTACCTTCTTAGCAAAGGACCTTGTTAGAAAATTAATCTTCGATTACATTATATTACATTATATTACATTATATTATCTAGCAAGATTCATTGTAACCAAAGTTTCTGTGAAAGAATAAAGGGCACAATGAGCAAGTTCTGGGTTCTGATTAAGCACATTGTTCTTCTGCAAAACTCTGCCCTTCATGTATTCTAGGTAAGTGCTGTAACATTGAGCATTCCCCCAACCAGTCACATTTTTTAAGAGCTCAGATTTCAGACAGGTGTGGTGGCATATGTTTGTAACCCTAGCACTCTTGTATTTCCAGCAGGAGAATCACCAGCTTGGCTGCGTAGTAAGTTCAGGGCAAAACCTTTCAACTCTACTAAAATAGCTTCGATTTCAAATTTACCTAACTTTACTTCGTTCCTAAAGCAGAAAAATTAAATAGAAGCAAAAGGTTTTAGCAGTGAGTCTTTCTAGTCTGTGTATTAAGTATTTTACCACTTCAGAGTTAAAGTCAAGGGGTAGCTTAAAGTTTATGCCATTTAGAAGTTTGTTCTCTCTCTCCCTCTCCCCCTGCAGTACTGCAGTTTGAACATAAGGCCTCACACATTCTAAGCAGGTGCTCTTCCATTAAGCTATATGGCCTGGGTTTTATTAC